TACATGCTCCAACCAGAAGGTTTTGAAGAAAAAGGAAAAGAGAACTTGGTTTGCAGATTGAACAAATCTCTGTACGGTCTAAAGCAGGCGCCGAGGTGTTGGTATAAGAGATTTGATTCATTCATCATGAGCCTTGGATACAACAGACTTAATTCAGACCCTTGTGCATATTTCAAGAGGTTTGGTGAAAATAACTTTGTTATCTTATTGTTGTATGTTGACGACATGTTGGTTGCAGGCCCCAACAAAGATCGTATCCAAGAATTAAAGGCTCAGTTGGCTAGGGAATTTGAAATGAAGGATTTAGGATCTGCAAACAAGATTCTAGGGATGCAAATTTACCGAGACAGAATTAATAGGAAGATTTGGCTTTCTCAGAAGAACTATTTGAAGAAAATCTTGCGACGCTTTAACATGCAAGATTGTAAGTCAATTTCTACCCCACTTCCTGTTAATTTCAAGTTATCCTCCAGTATGAGTCCTAGCAGTGAAGAAGAGAGGATGGAGATGTCTCGAGTACCGTATGCATCAGCAGTGGGAAGCTTAATGTTCGCGATGATTTGTACAAGACCAGACATTGCACAAGCAGTGGGAGTGGTTAGTCGATACATGGCGAATCCTGGTAAAGAGCATTGGAATGCTGTAAAGAGGGTTCTAAGATACATTCAAGGAACCTCAAATGTTGCATTATGTTATGGGGGATCTGATTTTATTGTCAGTGGATATGTTGATTCTGATTATGCAGGTGATCGTGATAATAGCAAATCCACCACAGGTTATGTGTTTGCACTTGCTGGCGGAGCTGTAAGCTGGGTTTCAAAACTGCAGTCAGTTGTGGCTACTTCAACAACAGAAGCAGAGTATGTAGCAGCTACACAAGCTAGTAAAGAAGCGATGTGGTTGAAGATGGTGCTGGAGGAACTCGGCTATGAACAAAAGAAGATTTCTCTATTTTGTGACAGTCAGAGTGCTTTGCATTTGGCAAGAAATCCAGCCTTTCATTCAAAGACCAAGCACATTCGAGTTCAGTATCACTTCGTTCGTGAGAAAGTGGAAGAAGGAACAGTGGATATGCAGAAAATTCACACCAAAGACAACCTAGCAGATTTTTTGACCAAAGCAGTCAGTACTGACAAATTTATTTGGTGTCGATCCTCTTGTGGTCTGATGGAGACGTAAGCAACATGAAGATGGCAAGATAGAAAGAATGGTGTGAAGATATGATTGATATTCAATCAAATCTTCAAGTGGGAGATTGTTAGGCGCCTAATGAAGCCAAGCACCAACCCACCCAGCAGCCAATGTTGAAAAGGAAAAAGAAAACAAAATGGTGGGGCTTACTGCTACAGTAAAATATTAATATTTTATTGTGCATAGTGTTTTTCAAAAAACTATAAATAGGGCTCCAAATCTTTAAGGAAATCTCATCCCAGAAACAACTTCTTATATAAGAAGAGTGAGAGAGAAAAAAATAGAGAGAGTTTCTCCTTGTAAAGAGAGAGTTTGTAACTCCAGAGTTTTTTCCTCATAGTGAATTCTTCTATCCTTGCCCGTGGACGTAGGCAATCAAGTGCCGAACCACGTAAATCTGTGTGTCCAATATTTTATCTCTACTTTTGCTCTACTATTGTTGCGACCCTGCTCTATTGGGCCCCGGGTTTGTCCCAACAGATAAGTCTGTTCGCAATAATTTGCATGAAAGTAGAACGAAGTTTCAAGTGTCTTAATAAACACACCTCATATAATAAGCATATGAGCCGCCAAAAGTAAAACTAATTAAGCCCAATTACCTCAAACACCCTCTTGAAGTAGTGGACGGCAAGTGCCAAAGTAAGCAGCTGAGGTCTCCGACCAACCACCACGCCAGGCGCAAAGAGCGAGGCGGCCGCGGTG